ACAGAGTCTCACTTTGTTGCCCTCGGTAGAATGCTGTGACGTCCCAGCTCATAGCAACCTTAAACTCCTGGGCTTAAGTGATTCTCTTGCCTCAGCCTCCCAAGTAGCTGGAACCATGGGTGTCCATCACAATGCCCAGCCAGTTTTTGGTTGCAGTTGTTGTTATTTAGCTGGCCCTGGGCCAGGTTCGAACCCCAAAACTTCGGTGTATGTGGCTGGTGTTGCAACCACTGTGCTATAGGCGTAGCCTTTTTTTTGTTTGTTTTGGAGTTTTTTTCACCGGGGTTGGGTTTGAACACACCACCTTTGGTATATGGTGCCAGTGCCCACTCCTCTGAGCCACAGGTGCTGCCCTTTTTCTTTTTTTTTTTTTTGAGGCAGAGCCCTGGGTAGAGTGCTATGGCATCACAGCTCACAGCAACCTCCAACTCCTGGGCTTAAGTGATTTTCTTGCTTCAGCCTCCCAAGTAGCTGGGACTATAGGCGTTCACCACAATGCCCAGCTATTTTTTGGTTGTTTTTTGGCCGGCCCATGCTGGATTCAAACCTGCCAGCTCTGGTGTTATTTGGCTGGCACCTTAGCCACTTGAGCTACAGGCACTGAGCCTTTTTTTTGAAAGAAAAAAGTCTTGCTGTGTTGCCCAGATTGGCCCTGAATGCCAGGCTCAAGCCTCTCAACTGGCTGGCTTTATAGGCGTGCACTACTGCCCCTGGCAAAGTAAGACCTTTGAATAGTATGTGCCTCTAATTTGAGTTTATATACACTCTTATCAGGTTTAAATGGTCCTGCTCATTTGTCACTTTATCCTTCCTCTTTGATTAGATCACTTAAGCTAAGTAAGAATGGCAAAAATTAGATGAAGAGGCAGACTGAGGGAAAGGCTCAGAATTTCATTTTTTACAGTTTGGTGATAAAGTGTATACCAACCCAGGCAGAGAGCATGTTTCTGACCAGCATCCAGCCTATTTGAAAGGCATGTGGGACAGAAAAGAAGCAATTTCCCCTTCTTCTTGGACTATCTCAAAGCTGGCCTCTACTCTTTTTGGTTTGACTTTTCATAGAATAAAATCCAATGAAATTAAACTGCTTAAGACTGAAAGTGAAAATACGTGGTAGGGTGTATTTTGGGGGGGGGGTGTCTTGTTTTGTTTTTTAAAATAGTACTGGAGTGTATCACTTTGGGGCATAGATGGTTTTGGAAAATCCTAGCTTCATTCTTCTTGGCATCTGTCTTGTTGGTTGTCATCAGGTCTGACTTTAAGAAAGTAAGACTAAGGGCCAGGTGCAGTGGCTCATGCCTGTAATTGTAGCACTCTGAGAGACTGATGTGGGTGGATTGCCTGACCTCAGAAGCTCAAGACCGGCCTGAGCCAGAGTGACTCTGTGTCTAAAAATAGCTGGTTGTTGTGGTGGGCACCTGTATTCCCAGCTGCTTGGGAGGCTTGAGGTAAGGGGATTACTTGAGCCCAAGAGTTCAAGATTGTAGTGAGCTATGATGCCACGACACTCTACGGAGGGAGGCAAAGTGAGACTCTGTCTTTAAAAAAAAAAAAAAAAGAAAGACTGAGTGTTTAGGCTCAGTACATAGCACTGCTAATTCAGAACAGTATGCAGAAAACATAACTTTCAGTGTTTAATTCTTAGAAAGCAGGGATGGTAACAGTTGTAAGTTTGTACACTATTAATATAGCGAGAGACAGAGCCTCAAGCTGTCCCCCTGGGTAGAGTGCTGTGGCATCACAGCTCACAGCAACCTCCAACTCCTGGGCTCAAGCCAGTCTCCTACCTCTGCCTGCCAAGTAGCTGGGACCACAGGCACCCACCACAACGCCCGACTATTTTTTGGTTGCAGCCATCATTGTTGTTTGGCGGGCCCGGGCTGGATTCAGACATGCCACCTTAGGTGTATATGGCTGGTGCCTTAGCCACTTGAGACACAGGTGCAGAGCCGATATGTCAGATTTCTACATTATACTACTATGCAAAAAAAGGCATAGATCAGTTAGTAATGCTTAACCTTTTTCATTGGTCTATTTCTGTAGTAAGAAAGAAATTCCTGTGTTTAACTTTACCATCCACGAGATCCACTGTCAAAGGAACATTGGTATGTGCCCTATCTGCAAGGAACCATTTCCCAAATCTGACATGGAGACTCACATGGCTACGGAACACTGTCAGGTAAACCATCAAGTACCCAAATGTTCATCAATGTATTATATTTGATACTGTGCAATAGCAAGAGAATGTACTGTCACAAAGCCAATTTATTGATTCTCACTTCTTACTTTAGGTAACCTGCAAATGTAATAAGAAGTTGGAGAAGAGACAGTTAAAGAAGCATGAGGTTAGTCTCCTTGCACTAAGAAGGGAATGAATTATCATGGGGCCAGTCCTGCTGAGATTGTGGAGCCATATGCAGAGCAAAAAGCAAGTTTGGCTGAGTCTTTGTTCTCCAACAGCTCACATGCATGCTGCCTCTCAAAGCCTGTTTGAGGCTTTGACTATTCAGCTGCTGCCAGATTTAGTTGCCTGGCTGTTATACCTCATGCTCAGGCCCCAGAGTGTCCCTTGGGAACTGGGTCTACCTTTTGGGGTTTGGCAGCCTTGCAAAGTATGAAGCCAAGGTTGGGGTTGCAATTGTGGGATAACTATCTCTCCTTTTTTTTTTTTTTTGAGACAATCTCACTGTGTTGCCCTTGGTAGAGTGCTATGGCATTACAGCTCACAGCAACCTCAAACTCCGGGGCTTAAGCGATTCTCTTGCCTCAGCCTCTCAAGTAGCTGGGACTATAGGCGCTGGCTGCAATGCCCTGCTATTTTTTTGTTGCAGTTGTTTTAGCTGGCCTGGGCTGTGTTCGAACCTGCCACCCTCCGTGTTGTATGTGGCTGGCACTGTAACCACTGTGCTATGGGCGCCGAGCTGGGATAAGTATCTCTTTAATTTTTTGTTGAAATTTTTTTGAGACAGAGTCTCATTCACTTTTTTAAGCTCTTTCCCTTAGGCTAGAGTGCCCAGTCATAGCTCACTGTAGTCTTGAACGCCTATCCTCAAGTGATCCTCCTACCTCAACCACCCAAAGTGCTTGGGATTACCAGGCATGACCCACTGCACCTGGATAGGATAACCTCTTTAGCACACAGTCTGCCTTATGATTTCATTTTGAATTTTTGATCACTTAGATAACATGCTATTTACACTTGAAGAAATTCCTCAGCACATGGTGAGAGAAAATATAGTTTTTGTTTGGTCCTTAGTTGAGACAGAACTGGCCAGCTTTTTATGAGTTTATTAATTAGCCAATTAAAAAATTCCAGTAACAGGGCGGTGCCTGTGGCCCAAAGGAGTAGGGCACTGGCTCCATATACTGGAGGTGGTGAGTTCAAACCCAGCCCCAGCCAAAAACTGCAAAAAAAAAAAAAAAATCCAACAACTGTTTAGGTATTAGTCACGTGGGAGTATATATAATATGTAAAAATTTACCAAGTTATGTGTTTAAGATTTGTGCATTTCATTCTATATACCTTAAACTATAACAACTAAGTTTTATTAATTTATAATTAAATTACCCTTAATTTAAAAGGTAATGGGGGGTTGTACCTGTAGCTCAAGTGGCTAAGGCGTCAACCACATACAGTAGAGCTGGTGGGTTTGAATCCAGCTAGGGCCTGCCAAACAATGACAACTATAACCAAAAAAAGAAAAAAAAATAGCCAGGCATTGTGGTGGGCTCCTGTAGTCCTAGCTACTCAGGAGGCTGAGGCAAGAGAATTGGTTAAAGCTCGGTGCCTGTGGCTCATGTGGCTAGGGCACCAGCCACATACATCTAAGGTGGTGGGTTCGAATCCAGCCTGGGCCTCCAAAAACAACAATGATAGCTGCTACCAAAAGATGGCTGGGTGTTGTGGTGGGTGCCTGTGGTCCCAGCTGCTTGGGAGGCTGAGGCAGGAGACTTGCTTGAGTCCAGGAGTTGGAGGTTGCTGTGAGCTGTGATGCCACTGCACTCTGCCCATGGGGATAGCTTGAGGCTCTGTCTCCAAAAAAAAAAAAAAAAGAAAGAAAGAAAAGAAAACATATTTCCATCTCAAAGTCCTGGCCAAGTGTAATTCTCAAGACCTAATACCCCTAGATAAAGAGCCCACGCAGAGACTCTGCACTTGGGTCTTTCCCTCTGTCAGATGCTCTGGTGCTTTTTAGTCCTTCTGTATTCCTTTCTAATAAAATCCTATCTTACCACTGATCTGTGGTCCATGGGCTCATTCTTCG